CTCAGCTCCGCTGCCGAAATGAAGAACTTACCTTCCCAGCAGCCCCCGGTCCTCGCTCTCACCGTTCCCGCTGCTGCTGCAAAAATGGAGGTAAGGTTTAAATCAACAGATTAAATTGAACTTGTGTTGCTCATGCTGTGTGGGCTTGTTTTCAAGGTCCGCCTTCCCTCGTTAAGTTATAAATAATCTACCCTGTATGACCATAGTAAAAATGCTTCAAAATGACTTCAGCAGCTGTAGATATTTTTAAAGCAACCTGTTCAGATTTGTTATGATGTACTTCTGGAACTTGAACCCGGGCCTTCTGACCTAGAGGTAGGGACACTATCACTGCACCACAAAAGCCCTCTTTTCAGTGGCTATTAACAGTGCTGGGAGATTCTGGAGTGTGAAAGACACATTATAATGTCATCAGAGATGGTAAGAACTGCTGATGCTAGAGTCAAAGATAACACAGTGTGGAGCTGGAGGAACTCTAGCATCAGCAGTTCTTACTATCTCTAAAATTTGAAGACATTGGGTCTCACTGGTTACCCTTGTACCAACATTATATTACTTAATACTGCTAGAGCACAGTAGTCATTAGGCCACGAATTAGTATTGTACAAGTTTGATCCATGATTTCTGTGATGTACTTTCAAACTTGTACTGCATTGGACAGGCCACTCAATGGGAGATCTGTTCCATTCAGGAAACTGTATGATTGGCAAAAACAACTAATATTGATCATGTACTTGGTTGTGGAACATTATTTACAGAAGTGAAGGGATTGGTACCTAGTTTAAAAGAGTGCAGTGAGCTTGGATGGATTGTGGAAACTGCTGAGTTCACCTCTCCCAAAAAGTATTGTGGTTATTTTGATCTGGATAAATACACATGCAACATAAAAATGACTGCTGAAGGTTGTATCTCTAACCAGCTAAATTACCAATCGTTGGTCAAGACTATCATGAGTGTTCATTTCAACTATGAGTCTTATTGTTCTTACACATCCTATTTCTTATGTAGCCTCTGTTTGCTTCAACTGAATTATGCTGGCATTTACGTTCAACATGTGCCTCCTTTCATGTTTCTTCTTCTAATCCCGTGCACTCTCACCTTTGCTGTCCACTTCACTTTTGTGGTAAAATGCTCATCCAAAGAACAGTAAGAATGTGAAACTTCTTGTAAAAACTTGATTGTACTCATTGGTGACTACCTTATGCTTACTACACTTTGGGGAAGATAGTAGTGTGGTGATGACATCACTACGCTAGTAATTCAAGCACAGCAGCTGGTGGAGTTTAAATTCTGCTGTTGAAAGCAGTCTCAGTAAATCAGCCATGTAACTATCATTTGTTGTAAAAGCCCATCTGGTTCATTAATGCCCTGTTAGGGAGGGAGATCTGCTATCCTTGCCTGGTCTGGCTTCCATGTGACTCAAGATCCATTACATCTAGTTGACTCTTAACTGCCCTCAGAAATGGTCAAGCAAGCCATTCATATCGAGGGCAGTTAGGAAGGGGCAACAAATATGGGTCTTGCTGGTGACATCCAGATCCCATAAAAGAATAAATGTTCAAAAATGAGCTCTGGTTTTGGGCTTATAATCCTCAACTCTACTTTCCTGTCTTATCCCCTTAACCCTTGATTCAGTTACTGATTTGAATTTACTCGATGGTCCAGACTCTCTAGCCTTTGCGGTAAAGAATTCCACAGATTCACTACCCTCTTAGAGGGAAGAAGTTCCTCATCTCTCTTAAATAATGACCCTTTACTCTGGAATTGTGTCGTCTTGTCCTAGACTCTCCAATAGGAGGAAATGACCTAGTCTAATCCCTCTAAAAATCTTGTATGTTTCAATAGGGGTCACCTCTCATTCTTCTAAACTCCAATAAATACAGGCCGACCCTAACAACCTTTCCTCATAAGCCAGTCCCTCCATACCTGCGATCAACTTAGTAAACCTTCTCTGGACGCTTCCAGCACTTGTATATCTTTCATTAGATAAGGGGACCAAAACTATTCACAGGAACCAGTCCCTTGTATAGATTCAGCAAACTTCTGTTTATACTCCGATCCCTTTGAAATAAAGCCCAGTGTTCCATCTGTTCTCACTATTACCTGTTGAACTTGTATACGAGCTTTTTGTGATTTAAATGCAAGGACTCCCAAAGTCTTTCTCCATTTCAGTAATGTTCAGCTCCTCCATTTTCCCACATTATATTTCATCTGCCAAGTTTTTGCCCACTCACTTGACTTGCCTTGCAGACTCTGTGGCATCCTCACCACTTGCCTTCTCAACTGTTGTTGTGTCATTGACAAACTTTGTGATTATAAATTCACATTCCTCATCCAAGTCATTAATATATATTGTAAGTAATTGTGGCCCCAGCACAGATCCTTGTGGAGTTCCACTAATTACATTAATGCCATCCTGAAAGCGCCTCCCCTTATCACAAATCTCCATCCACTCCAGCCAGATAATCCTCCGTCCGTGCAATTACACCATTTCCAATGCCATGGCCAAACCCGTAGAGCTTACATCTGACCCTTTGCCTGAGGGATCACTTAGCTCTGTCTATTGCATGCTGCTTTACGGAACAAGAACATCAAAAGCCTCCCCTCTTGAGTTCTGCCCTTTTGTGCAATATTTTCATGAAGTAATTGAACCATGTCGAAAGTTTTGAAGACCGTTCTATTGAAATCCACAGATGTTGAGAAGACCAGATTCATTGTCGTAGTCGCGTGCATGACCGGTAGAACTAAATCTGTGATAATTTTCAATAAGAAAACCATACAGAACATCAGATTAACTGCAGAAGTTTTTTTGTGCATATCCATGACAACAACAAGATCAGAGTTAAATTGTGCATTGGTAACTGGTGAAATAGGCTTGCTGGTGGCCTACATGAATTGCATAGCATATTAATGGGGACGAGGCACTTGCGCAGTGGTAGTGTATCTACCTCTGGGTCAGAAGGCCTGCGTTGGTCCCTGTTCCAGAGGTGTGTCATAACATGTCTGAGGAAGTTGATTTAAAAATATCTCTTAGTGGGGACATGTTTAGATCTTAATAAGATCAAGAGGTTCATTTTTATACAAGGAGTCTGATGTCTTTCGTTCAATATTTGGATGAATGCCTCAACAAGGCATTAAAGAATCATGTTAGTGCCAACTGGAATAAGTGGATGCTTGAGAAAGATAAAACCTTTACAAAGTGAAACTTCAGTGATGTCCCACATGGTGTCATTGTCAAATTGTAGGGTGTTTTCAAAACCCATTATCATCAGACTGTTCAAAGAATGCAAAATATAAAATTCAGTAAACACATACGAAGGTGATTTGGTGTGGTGAGATGGTTGTGAAACCGAAAGTGTCACAGTAGAGATGACCCATGGAATTACAGACCGGTGAGTATTGCGTGAGTGATAGGGAAACATTTGGAGAAAATTCTGAAGGAGTGAATTAATACCCACTTGGAAATGCATGGGTTCATTAGGGATAGTCAGCATGGCTTTGTCAGAGGGAGGTCGTGCCTAACAAATTTGTTAGAATTTTTTGGAAATGTGATTGTGTGGATGAGGGAAGTTCAGTTGATGTAGTGTATATAGATTTTAGCAAAGCTTTTGGCAAGATCCCACATGGCAGACTGCTTGAGAAGGTTAAAGCTCACGGAATTGAGGGAAACTTGGCAAGATGGATCAGAAACTGGTGTAGTAATAGGAAACAAAGGGTAGTGGTCGAAGACTGAACACTGGTGTACCACAAGGATCAGTACTGGGACCCTTGTTTATTATATACCTAAATGATATACATGAAAATGTTGGGGGAGTGTTAGGCAAATTTGCAGAAGACACCAAGATTGGTATAGTGGTTAATAGCAAAAAGGATGGTTGTAGGTTACAAGAAGATATAGACCAGGGGCAGATGGCATTTAACCCTGATAAGGGTGAACTGACGCACTTTGGAAGAATAAACAAGATGAGGGAGTATTCAATGAATGGCAGGACACTGGGTAACTTAGAGGATCAGAGGGATTGTGGGGCAATTATTCACAAATCCCTGCCATCAGCAGAGCACACGAATAGGATAATTAACAAGGCAGATGGGGATTTGCAACAGCCGTGGCATGGAGTGTAAGTGCAAGGAGGTAACGCTGGAGTTGTTCAAAGTGTTGGTCAGGCCACAACTGGAGTCCTGTGTGCAGTTCTGGTCACCTCACTACAGGAATGATGTGATCGCATTAGAGGGGGTACAGAGGGGATGCACCAGGATGTTGGATGTGGGTTGGAGAAATTGAGCTGTAAGGAGAAACTGGATAGGCTTGGATTGTTTTCTTTAGAGCAGAGAAGCCTGAGGGGGCACATGATTGAGGTGTTTTAAGATTGAAGGGTATGGACAGAGTGAATAGAGAGCAACTGTTGCCCTTGGTTGAGGGGTCAGTCATGAGAGGGCATAGTTTTAGGGTAAGGGGCAGGAGATTCAGAGGGGATTTGGGGGAGAAGAACATGTTCACTCAGCAGGTGGTGGAAACCTGGAATGCATTACCGAGAAGGTGATAGAGGCTGGAAACCTTATACCTTTTAAAAAAAGTATTTGGATGAGTACTTCAAATATCATGACATTCAAGGATATTTGCCCCAGTTTGGGTTCTGTCACAGTCACTCAGCTCCTGACCTCATTACAGCCTTGGTTCAAACTTGGACAGAAGAGCTAAATTCCAGAGGTGAGGTGAGAGTGACAGCCCTTGATATCAAGGCTGCATATGAGCGAGTGTAGCATCAAGGAGCCCTAGCAAAACTGGAATCAGTGGGTATCAGGGGGCAAAGACTCCGGTGGTTGGAGTCATACCTGACACATAGGAAGATGGTGATGGTTGTGGGAGGTCGGATCATCTCAGCTCCAGGACGTCTCTGCAGAAGTTCCTCAGGGTAGTGTCCTAGGCCCAACCATCTTCAGCTGCTTCATCAATGACCTTCCGTCCATCATAAGGTCAGAGGTGGGGATGTTCACCGATGATTGCACAATGTTCAGCACCATTCGTGACTCTTCAGATACTGAAGCAGTCCATGTTCACATGCAACAAGATCTGGACAATATCTTGGGCTGCCAAGCGGCAAGTGACATTAGTGCCACACAAATTCCAGGCTATGACCATCACCAATAAGAGACAATCTAACCACGGCCCCTTGACATTCAGTGGTGTTGCCATCACTGAATCCCCCACTATCAACATCCTGGGGATTATCATTGATCAGAAACTCAACTGGACTCACCACATTAACAGAGTGACTACAAGAGCAGGCCAGAAGCTGGGAATACTGCGGCAAGTAACTCATCTCCTGACTCCTCAAAGCCTGTCCACCATCTACAAGACACAAGTCAGGAGTGTGATCGAATACCGCCCACTTGCCTGGATGAGTGCAGCCCCGACAACACTCAAGAAGCTTGACACCATCCAGGACAAAGCAGCCCGCTTGATTGGCACTACACCCATAAGCATTCACTCCCTTCACCACCGACGCTCAGTAGCAGCAGTGTATACTATCTACAAGATGCAATTCACCAAAGATTCTCCAACAGCCCCTTCCAAACCCGCAACAACTTCCATTTAGAAGGACAAGGGCAGCAGATATATGGGAACACCACCACCTCCAAGTTCCTTTCCAAGCCACTCACCATCCTGACTTGGAAATACATCGCCATTCCTTCACTGTTGCTGGGTCAAAATCCTAAAATTTCCTCCCTAATAGCATTGTGGATCAACCCACAGCAGGAGGAATGCAGCGGTTCAAGAAGGCAGCTCACCACCACCTTCTCAAGGGCAACTAGGGATGGGCAAGAAATGCTGGCCAGCCAGCGATGCCCACATCCCATGAAATGAATAGAAAAAAAAAATGGCACTAGTACGGGAAATTGGGATTAGCGAACTTTTCGTGGTAGTTGTGTTGGTGCAGCGTCAGTGGGCCGAAGGGCCTTGCCTACACAGTATGAGTCTATGAATCTACATGATCCTGAGTGGTATCCTTACCATGATGCCATAACCAAAGTCACTTGGGGCAAATGCCAGAACTTTTTATCAGATCCTGAAAATGATGAATTCGACTTTTAAAACATTGCTTGTAGTTTGAAAAATTCCTGCTGGAATTATTTCACCAAATTAAATGTGACGTTGATTTAATTTAAACTGCAGTCTTTATCCCCTTTTAAATGGTGACTAACTTCACCAGAACCGGCAGGTCACGTTTTACTAATCCATGTAAATTGATCCATGTTTTGGAAGGATTTTTCAACACTGCATAGATTGACTTGTACGCTGTAATCTATATTCCAATATTGCACTTTCTTCAGTGGCTCAAGATGATATTTTCTATCAGATCTGTGTAGGGACTCCTCTAATGAAATTGCTAAGGTTCAATACAATTTAAACTAACCTCACTGCTTTTGAACTCTGGCTATAGAAATAATCCCAGTATTTGATTCACCAGTTTCAAAATCTCCCCACCCCCTGGCCCCATCCCATGACCAACCCTCCCTCTCATCCCCGCCTCCTTCACCTGACACAACCTGTCCATCTTCTCTCCCACCTATCCGCCCTTCCCACCTCACTGACCACTCCCTACCTGCACTCGCCTATCACCAACCCACCTACCTGCCCCAGCCCTACCCCTCCTCTCCCTTTATTTCTGAGCTCCCTTCCCCCTCCCCATTTCTGAAGAAGAGTCCTGAGCAGAAACGTCAACTTTCCTGCTCCTCTGACGCTGCCTGGCCTGCTGTGTTGCTCCAGCTGCACACTGTGTTATCTCTGACTCAGGCATCTGCAGTTCATGCTTTCTCCCAGTGTTTGATTTGCCTTTGTTAACTTGTGCTGCTTTTAGTCATTTGTGTATTTTCTTTTTGGTCTGTTACTATTCAAGCAGCTATGTGGCTTTACTGTTCCAATGGATATGTGCTCCATCATGCTTATCTACATGAAAATTAGTATGTTAATTCTGCAAGTTGAGTTTGTCTTGTATCCATTTACAGTTGTGTGCATAAACCCCACTCCCACCTACAACCCTGCTACAATTTGGTGCCACCTGCAAATTTCTGAAATCTACTTAAAATTCCTGAGTTCTAATCATTTAATAGAAAGAATGAAGAATTGTGGTCCCAGCATCCATATTGGTGGAACTCCATTTCCCTCTTGCCAGTTAAAGTTGTTGCTGTTAAGCCCTCTTCTATTTGTCTTGTCTCCACGTGCTAAACAATTGCCCTGCAGTAACAGAATGCCCAGTTACCAAAGTGGGGAGAAATTAACACACTTATTTTAACAAGGAAATATAATCTGTAGTCATAATCGGAAGGAGTCTATGATGACTTTTGACTTTCTATCCAATTGATTTTAAGGAGGGATGTGGAGCTAAGGAAGAGAAAAGTGGTCTATAAAAGTGCAACAGCCTCTAAACTTCAAAACACTATACTTCATAGCCACTGATGTTTCTTCTGTGAAGTTAGCTGAAATTTTTCTGTTTGCATTAAAGTTCTTCTAAAGGAAGGGATCCATGGATTCTGTAATGCACAGGTGCTCTGACTTCAAGCTGAGTATCTGTAATACAGAACAATTTTTGCATAATTTTATCAGATTTTCTAGTTGCATTGTTTTAAACAGCTTTTTAAACAGTAACTTAACATTAGTCTAATGCTAAGTATCAGTGTCTTGCATTTGTTTGAAAACTTGTGATTTGTTACGCCACCTTAGTATGTAATTATTGCCACTTTCAATTAATTAGTTACGCAGTCTGAATTATGCCTTCATAATTGAGGCAGAGTTTCATTAGAATGTTTATAAAACTAGTTTACTATGAAAAGCATAATTAAGCTAATAGGCTGAGAATGCTTTTTGTAACCTCAAAATATTAAACTATTTGGTGTTGGAAATGTATAAAAATTATTACTTATTTTGTGATTGCAGACAACATAGAAGTAGCACACCTGAAGACACTGACTAAAGAAGATATAGTAAATTTCTGCAAAGTAAGTCATATTTGCACATATTGTAAAAGTGAGGATTTGTAACAGGAGCTTGTCTGCTGTCGTATGAGTCTTTTAGCTAACTTGGATATGTTATAATATTGCTGTGAATCTGATTGGCTGTTCACATGATTTGTAAAAAGCAGTCAGCATACCTGGTTTTTGGGTTTCTCCATTTGCAATGTTGCCCTCCTCATACAAGGTACCTCAAAATTACTAGCATTGGATTTAGATACAAGTATATTATTTTGGTTTTCTTTCCCAGATGCTTTGTTTTTGGAAAACAATAATGCTTTTGGACCAAATATTAAAAGCTAAAAAAATTTATTGAATTTCAGAGGTAAAACAAATTATGCAATAGTCAAGTTCTGCAGAAGTATTTAAGCCTTGTAAACGGTGTTATGACCTATTGTGTAAGCGTAACTTATGCTTAAAAAGCCTACCTTCAAATCATGTGATGAAATATTGACCTAATCCTTTAGTTTGATAATGGCAGTAGCATTTGATTTGGTCCCCGAGAAATCTATTTGAAACTTTATAATTCAATTAAAACAATCATTTGTTTTGGTGGTAGGACAATATTTATTTTAAATGGTAAGGCTTTTCGGACAATAAAGTAATTTAAGTAATAGCTATCCATATTCTGTAATTCCATGGAAGCTTCATTTACCTGATCAACTTAAAACTTCAGAAAGTAGCTATAAAGTATATAGGAGTAGAATACCAAATGTAACTTAGTAAGGCAAAATTTAACATGTTTACTACCTGTGAAGTAACACATCCTGTAGCATTTTTCTTCATGAAAATAACTCTGTTATTTTACTTTTCACAATCTTCTCTCCCAAGCACACTCTCCTGCTCGGTCTTTGATGTGTGTAGCTTTCCTATTGGCATCTCAATATAAATAGTGTCTTATGCTGTTGCCCTGTTCATAACCACCTACTTTGGAGTACCTACTGTTTGTTTCTTTGTCACTACTCCTCTTAGTGGGGAAATTCCCTCCACTGTTATCTGTCATGCTCCAAAATATGAGCTTCCTTTCTTCTGTCCTCCTCCAACTGCCACCCAACTTTCTCTGTTCCAACTTTGGACCTGATTCCAGGAGTCCTTCAGGGATCCCAGCCCCAGTTTTTTGGGAACTTAAATGTAATTTGCTCACTATTAAGAACGGTATTCCAACTTTTAAAAATATCCAACAGGACTGTGGGGCGGCACGGTGGCTCAGTGGTTAGCACTGCTGCCTCACAACACCAGGGACCCGGGTTCGATTCCACCCTCGGGCGACTTTCTGTGTGGAGTTTGCACATTCTCCCTGTGTCTGCGTGGGTTTCCTCCGATGCTCCGGTTTCCTCCCACAGTCGAGATATGCAGGTTAGGTGGATTGGCCATGCTAAATTGCTCGTAGTGTTAAGGGATGTGTAGCTTAGGTGGGTTAGAGGGGAATGGGGCTGGGTGGGATGCTCCAAGGGTCAGTGTAGACTTGTTGGGCGGCAGGGCCTGTTTCCACACTAGGGATTCTGTGAGGACTGTTGATTACTGTTGATATTGAGTTTGCCTGGTCAGACTGGGAATGGTTTGAGGACGAGATTGTGGGGAGATATAATTTTATTCAGAGTTTTCTCAGTAGTGCAGAAATCTATCATGCAATAAATTCCTCAGCTTATTTTAAACCTAAAATAGTTTCTATGTTTCCTTATTGCTGCTGTAGTCTTTTGGAACACTTCAAGTACAACCAGACCATACATACTATCACCTGATGTCTAATTGTAAAAGATTATTGGAAGGAAAATCTTTTGAGTAATGCCTTCCTACTGTGACTGGACTTCAAGCCATGACACCTTATCTGGCCCTAAAAACTGTTTCAAAACTTCAGTGGGGTTGGGAGCATACTGGCTTACATTTCCAATTCTTTGACACCTCTAACACTTCCATGATTCCACGTCACACAGTTTCCCTCATAGCCAGATTTTCTTGAACTGTTTCAAGACCCTTCCTGATGTACTGCTTCATTTTCCCTCTTTGGCCACTAAGAATTGCCTCTGTGAAAGTTCTTTGCCTGTCCCTCTCACTCTCCTTTTTAAAAAACCCAGCTCTTTCACCAAAGTTTCTCTTCTTATTCTATGAAGGGACATGGGCATTAATGGAAAAGCCAGCATTTGTTGTCATCCCTAATGTCCTTGAACAAGTGGTTTTCTCAATTATTTGAGAGGGCATTTAAGCATCAGCCATGTTTGCGGTGGATCTGGAGTCTTGGCCAGACCAAGTAAGAATGGCAGATTTCCTTCATTCTAATTAGAGAATTAGATGAATTTTTTACAATAATCTGTTATAGTTTCATGGTCACAATCATTGAGATTATCAAGACAGTATTTAGTCACCTGCACCTGGGGATATGCTCTGTATGGAAAACACCATGTAAACCTTATTATGTTTCCATCTCTTATTTCCTTTGCCTTTTTTTGAGTGACAGCTGTGAATGATTTGGTTTGGTATACTCATGCTTCTGAATTACAGGGTTCTGTGTTCAAGTCTCATACCAGAAAATGAATACAAAACTCCAAGCTGAGGCTCTAGTGCAGCAATGGGGAAATGCTGTGTTGAGAGAGGTTGCTGCACTGTTCGAAACTGCTTTCTTTTGGCTGCCTGCTTGAGTGAATATAAAGGATCCTATCTCATTGTTTCAAAGAGCAAGGAAATTATTCCTGGTATCCTGGCCAATATTTCACCTTGATGTCACAAAACAGATTATCTTGATCATTTCTTACTTTCAACAGTGCCTTTGCTTCAAAAGAACTTCATGGGCTGTAAAACACTTTTGTGATGTCCAGTGGACTTGCAAAACACTACATATAAATACAAGTCTTTTTTTATTATGTTCAAAACTTTTTCCAAGTGTTCTAATATTTGAGACTATTACTCATAATGTAGCTAAGGAACATGAAATAAAATAGTAAAATATTTTATAGGCAAGTCAATTAAAAAAAATGGAATAAGACCGTTAAGGAATGGACTGAATTATAGCACAGGTAACAGTAGAGAGGTGGCATGAATATTGAATTGATTTTGCTTCACTATTTACCTTGGAGATAATACAGATAGGCGTGGCTTTAAATGAATCACAAATGAAGTGTCCTTAAAATATATTTAAAAGGATGCACTGAATTAGCTCATAGGAATCAGAAGATAAAACTCCTGGTCCAGGTGGATTCTATGCACATATTTAAAAGAGCGTGGAAGAGTTGATAGTCATATTTAATGATTCATTAGGAAAAGCTGCAATGCCAAACAAGTGTCAGATAGCCAATGTAATTCCTATACTCGAGAAAGGGACAGAATGTGCCCAAGCAATTACAGAATTGGTGGTTTAGTATTAGTGGTCAAAAAAATGGAATTTCTACCAACAGAGAACAGAAGAATATCTCAAAATAAAACAAACTGCACTGGGGACAATCTTGCTTGTCCCACCTTTTATAGAACTTTTTTTAACAGTGTAACAGAGAGTAGATTGTGTAGTGCAGCAGCTGCAATTTATTTGGATTTTCAAAAAGCCTTTGGTAAGATGCCCTGTAACAAAATAGTAAATAAAGTTGGAGAGTGTGATGTCATGTAGCAAGTGACAGAATAGATTGGCTTCAAGATAGCAGTAAGGGGGAATAAAGGCTAGTTTTTCAGAATGGCAGAAGGTGGAAAGTGATGTTCCACAACAATCCATGCTGGGACCACAGCTTTACCATGAAAGTTATTGATGGTTTGGACTTTGGAATTTAAGTCATAATCTCTGAATTTGCAAATGCCACTAAATTGAAGGAGGATGATCACTACTGAGGAGGATTGCAACATATTACAGGAGGACAATAATAAACTTGCAGAATGGATTAATAATTGGCGATTGAAGCTCAATGCTAATAGATGGGAGGGAGTACATTTTGACTGGAATAAAAAAAGTCACCATGAGTCAGAGGGTGAGAGTTTAGCTCCAGTTTGGAAACAAAGGAACCTCGGAATACAAATGCAACAGTTGTTAAAAATTTGTACCATTGGTCAGCAAAGCTTTTTCTTAAAAATCAAATTAAGCACTGGGTTTTATCTCTTGGAATTGAAAAGTAGGAAAATTTATACTGAATGTCTACTAAGCCAATATTGGAGCTTACTGTCTGCAGATCTGGTTGACGTTTTAAAATAAAAAGTGATTGTAGATATGGTATGAGAGAAGATTTACAGAATCCAGGAGGATACCAGAAATGCCTAAGTATGTTTATGAAGAGAAGGTTTTATAGTGCAGTGTTAGCATCCCTGCCTCTCGACCAGAAGTTTATGATTCAGGTTCCACTTCAGGATATGGCTGCCATGGATTGTATGTTGATAATATGACCACAAATGTTGAATACTAACTGTCTAAAATCATTCCATTATACCTCAGGAGAGTTTCCGTGTAAACCCGTCTGCAGAAGGCAAAGGCAAGCCGTCACATTATTTTGTGACGCATAATCTAATGGAAATCTATAAGAATCAAGGCCCTCTTATATCATTTTACCTGAAGAGAGGTACATTTCAGGAAAGGATACAGTAGCTTTGGCTCTCTGATTCAGAAGAAGGCAGAAAGTTATCTGATAGATCTTTAAAATGTGAAAGAGTTTTGATAGCATGGAGATGTGGAAAGAATGTTTCTTGTGGGCAAGAGCATAACTAGAGGCTGTCAGTATAAGTCAATTATCAAGAAATCTGATATGGAGTTAAGAAGAAACCGCTTCAGCAAAGTGTGTGAAGATGTGGAACTTCCTACCGCAACGATTAGTTGAAGTGAATCATATAGGTGCATTTAATGGGAAGCTAAGTCAGCATTAGTAGGAGAAGGGAATAGAGGGTTACACAGGCAGATTTGACGTTTTAAGATCAAAAGGCTTACATGGAACATAATGCCAGTTGATAGTGAAAAATGTACTGAAAACAACAAATGCTGGGAATCACAGCGGCTCAGACAACATCCCTGGAGAGACAGCAAG